CCCCGTGGAACCGTCAGTGGGGAAGGTGGGATACAGAATCTCAGGTGTGTTGTCATTCTGGTCCAGCACGAATATGCTCAGTGACACATTACTGCTGAGTGGTGGGTCCCCACTGTCACTTGCAGTCACTCTCAACTGAAGGTCACGGAACTGCTCATAGTCGAAGGAGTGCAATGCATATAGGATGCCGGTATCAGAGTTGATGGAGATGTAGGAGGAGAGGGGTACCCCCTGGACGGTGCCTTCAGAAAGAGAGTATGTGATCTGGGCATTCTCATGGCTGTCAGGGTCATGCGCAGTTACGGAGAAGATGGAGGCGCCTCTGGGGTTGTTTTCAGGGATGTAGACAGAGTAGGAGGAGTGGAGGAAGGCAGGTGGGTTGTCATTGGTGTCTGCCACGTTTAGGGAGATGAGAGTTTCTGTAGACAGGGGCGGCATTCCTTTGTCTGTGGCTGTCACAGTGATGTTGTACAAGGACACTTGCTCTCGATCTAGAACTGTATTGGTCACTAATTGATAATAATTGTCTATGGATTTTTTCAGTTCAAATGGCAGACTTCTTGGGATAGAACATGTTACCAGGCCATTCAGCCCAGAGTCTCGATCGTATACTTGAAAAAGAGCGATCACTGTTCCTGGAGGTGTATTTTCAGCAACGGATCTGCTTCCAGATGTAACTACCACTTCTGGCACATTGTCATTCACATCCAAGATAGTTACTAAAACTTTTGCTCTGTCTAGTAGACCTGGCCGATCCCGGGCTTCAACATCCAGCTCATAAAAGCTAGAGTCCTCATAGTCTAGATTTGCAGAAGTTGATATTTCTCCAGTAAAAACATTCAAGCAGAAAGTCTTTGAGATCTTTTCTGCTATCCTCACAAAAGAATATGTTACTTCTGCATGGACTCCTTCATCCTGGTCCGTGGCATTTACCGATAACACTGTTGTACCTACTGGCAGGTTTTCAGGAACACTCACACGGTACACAGGCTGAGTAAACACCGGAGCATTGTCATTTGCATCTAGGACAGTTACCAGAATTCGAGCCACACCTGAGCGGACAGGGTCACCACCATCGATGGCAGTAAGGACCAGGTGGTGAATGGCCTCTCCCTCCCGATCCAGGGCCCCCTCCAGCACCAGCTCAGGGTATTTCAGCCCATCGGCTTTGCTTCGCATATCCACTGAGAAGTGACTGTCCCCGCTAAGCTTGAAGCCCTGGAGAGAGTTCACTCCCACATCCGGGTCAAAGACCTCCATTAGTGAAAACCGAGAGGATAGGGCTGCGTTTTCGATAATTTTCACTTCCAATTCTTCCCTTAAGAATCGGGGTGCATTGTCATTAATGTCCACTATTTCCACTTCTACGGGATAAAGATTCAATTTATCCTCAACGAGGATGTTAAAACTCACCAGACAAGGCACGCTCTGCGCGCAGAGCTCCTCCCGGTCTATCCTGCCCGCAGTGATCAAGTTGCCACTTTGCATGTTCAGAGCGAAAAGCTGTGTCCTACCTCTGGAGACGATGCGGACTCCGCGCCCTGCCAGTTCCCGGAGCTCCAGCCCGAGATCCTTGGCGATGTTGCCCACGAAGGAGCCTTTGTCCAGCTCCTCAGGAATGGAGTAACGGATCGGCCCGGCCCCGGCCCCCCACAGGGTCCTCAGGAGCAGTAAGAGGAGGACTAACCCGCCGTGGTGCCGGTGCCTTTGCAGAGCCGCCATTACTGGCTCGTTCTGGACTTCCCTGGGATTATAAGTAAGGTGGAACAGGTTCGCATCAATTTGGGGCTTCTCAGAATTGGAGGTCAAGGTCCATAAACAAGCAGAGACCAGACGCGAAACGCTCTAGGGCAGAATTTCTGCGCAGCTGCAGAGCTGTCCTGTCTGATTTGCTTTGTGCTTGGAGGATATAACTTGAGTTCTCATTGCTTTCCTTACCCGGGGTTAGTGAACAGCGACGCTTAGAGTCCTAACTTAATACTGCACCATCCTATGGAAATCATCATACATAGGATCTTATTTCTGCTAAATATGCATAGATAACACTCAATAATTCTCTCCCCAAGAATGAGAAGCATTTGGAAGAATAAAATAGCTTATTCTGAAAATGTTTATATGTTACCTGGAATGTCACTTATTTTTGTGACATCTCTTAAGGCCTTAAGAGAACACAAGTAATTTTACACTTTTCTGCAAATCTTGAAATCCACACTACACAGTTATTTATGTTTGCCTCATTTTAAATAAGGGCATCAACAACCGCAAACCTATTTCGAACCAATTTACCACTAGGTTACAACAGCTGTCATTTTTAGACCTCATTACCTATTTTTATTATATTTTTATTTTATTATTTTTTTATGTATTGCAACTTTTATTTATTTTTAAGGGGAGTTAATTAGGTTTACTTATTTATTTTTTTAAAGGAGGTACTGGGGATTGAACCCAGGATCTACTGTATGCTAAGCATGTGCTCTACCACTTGAGCTCATTACCTACTTTTATTAACATATGGATTAGTAACTGCCCTAATTTAGCCAATATTTGTGTATACTTTTAAAAAGATGCAAAGTAAGTGAAAATATTTAGGCTACAGTGAAAAGAATTTTTGTATTTATATTATATATAAAACATAGTTAAAATTATGTTATAGTTTAACCACTTAATTGTCTAGATTTGTGCTTAAGTATATACAGATAATATGTCTTACAATGATAATGTGAGATATTAATGTATTTAAACATTTCAGGATATATTGCTCAGAATTAACAAAAATTTCAAGACCATACTAAGCAACATTCTGTGAAAGAACAAATGCAATACACATAAGCAAACAATTTCTGACACCCTCAACCCATTTTATGCCCAGAAAAATTAAGAAAACACAAAAATTAGGGCATAGCTAGCCTGTATACTTTTTGGTCTCAAAAACAATGAATTGAAACCTAATTATACTTATGGGAAGAAAGGGTTTTGAAGTAACTCACCTGATGCAAATTGGCTGAATTGGAAGTCATTTGGGCATTGTCATCACTGGTACTTTCAAGCCAAGAGGCTTCATTACATAGAAGATCTTGTGGTGGAGTATTTTCAAGCTTTATATTGAGAAACTTAAACTCAGTTTTTGAGGAATGAGCGGCAGCACACAGATTGTAGGAATAAGGCAAAGTCCCTTCCTCATAGTTGGGGAGAACTCCAGGTCCAGCCTTGGAGCAGAGACCAGTCTGAAAGCATCTCCAAGCAGTGGGGCTGGAGGAGCGTCGCAAGCTCAGGGCGACTGCCAGAATCACTACCAGGAGGAAGAGCACGGAGATCAAGGCCAAGGCCACTACCAGGTAAAACTGCAGCTCAGCCTGGGTGTCAGAGGGCTCTGGGCGGTCACTGAGGTCAGGCAGCGCCTCCTGCAGGCTGTCCGCAAAC